TTTGTTTGTTTTGCGGTACGCGGGCCTCTCACTGTTGTGGCCTCTCCCGTTGCGGAGCACAGGCTCCGGACGCGCAGGCTCAGCGGCCATGGCTCACGGGCCCAGCCGCTCCGCGGCACGTGGGATCTTCCCGGACCGGGGCACGAACCCGAGTCCCCTGCATCGGCAGGCAGACTCTCAACCACTGCGCCACCAGGGAAGCCCCAAAGGCTTATTTTTGACTCACACCCCATGTCTTTCTTGGGTCACCTGGGGCTCTGGGCAGGGAGCATTCTGTGACCCGAGCTGATCAAGCAGTCCTCATCCAGAGCAGGATGTCCCCATGGCAGAGGGAAAAGAGCGATGGTGAAATTACAAGGTAACTCCTAAGCTTCCACCCAGAATCAGCCTGATAATTCTGCTGACGTTGTTTTTGGTCAAAGCACATCACTTGGCCAAGGCTGTTACCAGCAGGGCCGGGCCCTGTAAGCAGGCCTGCAGGGAGAACAGTGAATATTTTGGTATTAGTGGACGCTACTTCATTAGTCCCAAGCCCATGCTCCTCCACGGCACTGGACAACCTCAATCCTGCTGTGTGACCTTGGGCAAGTCACTTTGCCTCTCTGGGCCTAGATCTATTGAGCATTCCCTTTGTGCCTTAATCACAGGAGGCAGCACTCACTGGGTCCTTTCTCCTTCAGGCCCGTGTTATCTCATTAAGCCTCACAATTGCACCACCAAGTAGGGCATATTGTTATCCCCATTTTACAGATGAGGAAAGTAAAGCTCGTTTTCCCCAGATCACGGAAAAAGAATTTTGCTGAGCTGGGATTTGAATCCACACAGGCCTAATCTCTTGGGCCCAGAATTTAGTCACCAGGGTTATCAACTTGTCACACGGACTGACAGGCCCCCCTGTGAGCGGGTTCAGTTATTTTAGGTGAAGTTGGCTGAGGGGCCATGAACCATCTCCCAGCCAGCCTGGGCCCAGCTGTGAGCTCTGCAGCTGACGTTCCTTTCTGACAGGATGGCCTCAGGAACTCTGTCCTCCGTCCTCAACTGGGACTGCCCATGGGTGGCGATGGGACCTCCATCTGGCCTCCGCCCCGGCTGACATACCTGCTCCTGTCCCCGGGAGGTATTCAGTGACATTCCTCCATCAGAGAAGGTTTTGTTTACTGCTTGGGAAGCAGCAAAAGAATCTGAATCATTAAGTCTTCCAAAAGATACTGAAAAATTGCTATCTGTGGCTTTGGCTGGCTTCACATCTTGTCCCATAAAACAGCCTCTATTTTCTCTCCTGCCCTTTATAAAACACCCACACACACACTCAACAAAGACCCCTGCATCTGGATGAAATTAATTTCCAGATCACATTTTTAAATTAGATTAAAAAGACCAGAATGCTTCCAGCCAGGCAACCATGGAGAGGGCAGGCCCTGGAAGGCAGGGAACTGCCTGGAGACGGCGTCCATGGCCCAGGCTTCCCAGCCGGCTGCCACCTCCAGGGTGGCCTCCCATGCAGGGCAGAGGGAGTCAGCAAAGGTGGCACCTCCTGCGGGTGTGCCCCTCCCTTCTCTGAGCTGGGGGGGGGCGGGGTGTGGTGAGATCATGGCGGTGAGATCATGGGGGGTGCTACCACCCCCCAAACCCCATGCCAGTTAGAGCAAGCTGGCTGCGGAGGCCTGCAGGCTCAGCAGTGCCCATGCACCCCGTGATGATGACACACTAAGATGCAGGATGCTGTCGCTGGGGAGGTTGGGGCCTGTCCGCAATTCCTGGTAGAGGATGAGCTAGGACAAGTGGGCCAAGCAGATGTGGGGAATTCCTGCCTGGACATCTGTCTTAGACTTGACCTTGGGATTCCCCAAAACTCAGCACACTCTGAGGTCAGATAGACCTACGTGTACATCCCAGTGCGGCCACCGCCCAGCTGTGTAGCCTCTGGACACTGGCTTCGCCTCTCTGGGCCCCATTTCCTCATCTGTAAATGAGGGATACTGGCTCCTAACTCACAGTATTGTTGCAAAGATTCGGAAATACAAGGCACGGGCACGTTGTGATGGCTAGTATCCCTATTAACTACTAGGGAATACGCATAGAGAAGGTAAAGTCTAGTGAGGAAGTTATTCCTATCGAGGCTGCCACTGACACCAGCTCGCTATAAGCACTCACTATATATTAGCTTAAGGAACATTGAAAGCAGCCCCAGGCCGAGCATTGAACTCTGACCCTGGTCCCAAGGAGCTCTGATCTCAAGGTGCAGACAGTCCTACAAGACAGCAAAGACAACACAATGTGTTCTGGGAAGCCCGGTGGCTTTGAGAGCCAAGGGGAGGGATTGGACTTAACATAGGACATCAGGGAAGGCTTCCTGGAGGAGGTGATAGCTGCGCTCAGACATGGGGGCGGGGCCAGCTGCCTGCACAGGAGGTAGGGAGCAAGTTCCAGGCAGGGGAGCAGCATAGGCAAAAGCCTGGAGGCGGCTTGTCTGCCCAGAAAACATGGGTGGCGCCTGCCTTAGGCCGTATGGTGCAGCGGTTAGGAACGTGTGCTGTGGAGCTGGATTGCTGGGTTCAAATCCTGGCTCTGCCACTTAATGGCTGTGAGCTCTTAGACAGTCTCTGAATTCCTCTGAGCCTCAGTTTCCATCTCGGGGATGGGGATGATAGCAGTAATTCTTTCTTCACTGTGTGTTTTGAGTGTCGTCGGATGAGCTAAGATGTGTAAAGCACTTAGAGCAATGCCCACCGGCTGCTGCTTCGCTAGCTGTTATTATTTCTTAGTCCTGATGGTTTAGGCCCAGCCGTGTCCAGCTCCCACCCCCAGCTGGCGTCGGGGACTCCCTCTCTCAGTGTGGCAACATCTGCCAACAGCTGCCCCTGCCTCTCCCGCCCCACTGGCTCCCTCAGCGCCCGCGGCTGCCGCCATGGGAACCACCAAGGAAAAGCCTGATGCTTAGAGCAACTCTGTGGGGGCAACAGAGGAGGTTGGAGAGGGGGTGCTGGGGAAAGCAGGGGTGCCAGGGGCCGAAGCCAGGCCCTCCTCCCCTGTCCACGTGGACTCCTGCCTCGGCATGCCAGACAGGGCTGCTGGCCTCTGTTCCCTGGCAGGCATTCACACCTGGATATCTCCAAGTGAAGCTAGATTCCCCTTGAAATGAGGCAGCTCAGGGGGCTGGGTCGGGGGGCGGGGCAAAAGTCAGCCTCCCCACCCAGCCCGGGCCCAGCCCTGGTAGGGGGCTGGAGGACCCAGAGGGGCGCGGCGCCCATCTCACTGCAGCGGCCAAGGCTGAGCAGGTGAACCCAGCTGGGAGGATGCAGAGTCTGGAAACCGAGACCGGGAGGGGCTTCATATCATCTCCTCCAGACCCAGAGACACACAGCATCCTCCCAGGCCACACGGCAAAGTGAGGCCAAGGAGAAACCAGAGGCAGGGCCTCCTGGCTCCAGACCCGTGTGCCGCAGCTTCAGACAGCATCCAGAGGCACCTCTCGAGGGGACCCAGGACACCCGGGAGGCTGTCTGCTGAGAGCCAGGGTGGGTCCCCCCAGGGGGCAGCGAGGCTGGACACTGGCTTTGCCTCATCTTTGCCACCCGCCAGCTCACACCCACCTAAACAGGTGGCCGCAGCAGGGAGCCGGTGGAGGGGGCATTTGAGTGACTAATAAATCGGTCCCTTAAACAGCCGCAGTCCTGGGCGAGCCCCGTGTGGAGCTCCGCTGGCCCCGCTGCAGTGGTGAAGTCAGGAAATGGCCCTCCCCAGGCGCCCGGGAGAGACTCAGACCCTGGCCTGGGCGGGAGGATATACCCGGACCATGCCAGCATGGCCCCGGCTGGTGGGGGGAGGGTTTGAGGGGCACTCAGGTCAGAGGAAGGGCCCAGCAGTTTCCAAGAGGCAGTGGGAGTCAGGCTGAGGAGGAAGGAAGGTGGTGGGGGGACAGAAAGCAGTGGCTGGGCAGAAGGCGCAGTGTTCCAGTGAGCTCCTCAGGGGGCAGCCAGCTTCCCTTCACTAAGGGGCATTTGCAGCTCAAAACCAACCCCATCATCTCTGCTTCTGGAGGGCAGACTGGCCCTCAGCGTGGAAATGCTGGGTGAAGGAATAAAAGAACCGACGTCAGGGGGCCCTGAGACCCCCAGCCGTGCAGCCTGGGGGTGCCTGGTGGAGAGCGCTGTCGGGGAGCGGCCTGAGGGTGGGTGTGAAAGGCATGTGGCTGGTGGAGCAGATGCACCAGTGTCTAGTTCGTGGGGTGTGGGGAGGGCAGCTGAGCTGATGCCCTGACTCCTGGGCTTCTGAGGGAGGGAGCGTGATGGCGCAGGCTGGAAGGGAGCCGACCCCAGGTGGGACACGCCCTGGCTGAGTCCCACGCAGAACTTGGGGGTGTGAGGTGGCCCAGTGTGGATGCCGAGGGGCATGAACTTGGGTCAGTTTGTCCTCAGACGACAGACTTCCTGCATTTGCCCTGGGTCCAGAAAGATGGGGAGGGGAGGGGATGATGAGGGATGCAAGAGAGCCTCCTAGGTGGCGGGGGCGGCGTAAGCCAAGGCCAGGAGGGGGGGCAAGCGGGAGGTACCCGCGGGAGACAGCTGGCAGGTCCGGGCGTAGCGCCCATGTCGGGGGGGCAGGAAGGTGAAAGTAAGGGCCACCACAACGCAAGAGCCCCAGATGCCCAGTGGAAAATTTCTTCCAGAGGGCCTAACAGGGTGAGGCCTCCTGGGCTCCCGGCCCAAGGACTTGGGGCCTTGGAGGGGATGCTCGAGGGACAGGCCGAGGGCAGTGGATTGCAGGCATCTGGGAGGGGCAAACAGGGTGGGTCGGGGAGAGGAAAGTGGGGAGTGGGCATGAGAAGAGGGAGCTAAGATCCCCTGCCCCCCAGAGGGGCTCACCTTCCTCTCGGAGACCCCGTGCCACGTTTTCTAATCAACCCCCCTGATTAACTCCAGCCCCAGCGGGGCTGCTGTCCCGGCCTCTCTCAGCCTCTCTCTGTTTTCCTCTCTCAGCCTCTCTCTGTTTTCCCGCAGCAACTACACCGCCTTGTTGGGAGTGTGGATCTACGGCTTCTTCGTGTTGATGCTACTCGTCCTGGATCTTTTGTATTACTCGGCAATGAACTACGACATTTGCAAGGTTTACCTGGCACGGTGGGGCATCCATGGACGGTGGATGAAACAGGACCCCAGGCGGTGGGGGAACCCTGCCCGGGCACCCCGGCCAGGGCAGCCGGCCCTGCAGTCCCAGCCTCCCCCGGGTCCCCTGCCTCAAGCCCCCCAGGCCGTCCACACGCTGCAGAGAGACAGCCACAGCCCACCGCTGATGAGCTTCCAGGGTTCGTCTGCCTGGTGAGTGGCTGCGATCTCTTGTCTTTGACGAGCTTGGAAAATACCAGATCATTATTGCTGCTGTGTTTGGCTTGTCAATTACCAGATGATTTGCTTATCTTATTTGCCAAGAAAGATGTGAAGTGGCTCGTGGTAACAACGCGTGCCTGGACAGAAAAGTCGAAATGAAAGGTTGAAACAGAGCTTAGAAACAAAGCTTGCAAGTTTATTTTGCTTAGATTCTGGTGTGAGAGCTGTTGCCACTGAGCATGAAGTGGAGTTGTGAGTTTCCTAGCTGCCAAGGCAAAAAGGGAAACTGGATGGCTTCCCAAGTTTTCACAGTCTGGTCAAAGGAAGCAAGTCGATCTGTCAGGGGCTGAGGGAGAAGCTTTTTTTGGCATGAAATTTGAAAATAAGCATATTTATTACTGGACTCCATGGTGCATGTATGTTGAGTCACAGAAAGGCATCTGAGGGCGATGCAGGCAGGCTGCTCAGCGATGGCTCGGGGAAGGGAAGGAAGCCGGCCAGGGAGGTGGCATCTCGGCTGGCCTTATAGGGTGGCCACCCCCGCAGAACCTGGTTACCCTACCCCAGGGGCGAGTTCATGATTTCCTGGAAAGGGACAGACTGCCGCTTTCATGTCTATCCATCTCCAGTCTGGTGGGAGGCAGAGAATAACCTAACCTGGGGGTCCCTGGGCGGTGCAGAGCTGGAGGGAGAGAGGAGGCATCTGTGCATTTTGAAGCAGGAACCTACTGTGTGACTGGCCAGCACCAAGAACAGGCATCAGCCCCTGGCAGGAGCCAGGCTGAGTGTAGATGCTCAAGTCCAGGGCTCGGGTATAGGGCTCAGCTGCTCTGCAGGGGCTGAGCTGCAGCCATGGGCACACAGGGCACAGGGCACATCATCCCAGGACATCACAATACTGAGCCCAGCCTGCAAGATCCAGTGCAAAAACCTACAACACAGTGATCCCTGCCAAGCCATGAGTTTTGCAGGCAACCCAACCCAGGTTCAAGTCCCAGCTCTGCCAGTTACCAGCTCTGTAACCTCAGGCAACTCCTTCACCCTCTTAACCTTCCAATCCTTGTGAAGCAGGGGGGAGTGAGAACGCACCCCCCCACCCCTGCCACCCTGGGATTGTCTTGAGGATCAAACAAAATGCCTGGCACATAGTAGGTGCTCAGTTAACCATTGCTCCTTCCTTGCAAGAGATGCAACCAAGCTAGTTCATGATTGTTTAAGTAGCTAACAGCTAGTGACCTTTTCAATAATGAATGACTTAAATAATTAATAAGATAAACTTAAATCAGCTTGTGCTTACTGATCTAATAATTGCCCCAACTGTCATGCAGGAGGCAAAGACGCAGCCTTGCTCAGCTCAGCTGGACAAATGTGGACTGAGCCGGTCCTCTGGGCAGGGCCCCCGAGCCAGGCTTCTGGTGGTGTGGAGGTGATGGGTGGTGGAGAGGCTGCTCTTCACCTTGAGGAGGGGGGAGGGGACACACAAGCCCACCCAAAGCTACAGACCATGAAACAGCTGTTGGCTCTGCCCCAAAGGTGTGGTCTCCTGAGATGTGAGTCTCGCACAGCAGACACACCTGGGGTGCTTGTCAAAATAAATTCCTGGGTCTCAGCCAGAGCCTCCTAACCAGGAATCTCTGGGGGTGATGCCTGTAGGCACTACAGTTTGAGAACCACTGGAAAAGTTCATTACCAGGAGCCAAGTGTTTTGAGAGCTGAGACTCTACCATGTAAACAAAGGTGCTCCCCAGCCCCTGCCATGTTCCTGACAAGACGGTGATGTGAGCCAGCCCTTAGGGGCTGTTGCCGTCCTGCCTGCAGAACCCGGGGTGGTTTGCTTGCACAGAAAGGGACCGCGCTGGTCCATTTCTGAGTCGCTGCGTCTGGTCCTAACAGTTCTCAGTGTCCCTTGCTGTTAACCGTTGCCTGTCTCTGAGGTCTCCCCCTTTCCATATTGCACACGTCGTGCACCTCCTGTGTACCAGGCCCTGTGCTGTGCGATCCAGATGGGGTTTAAGGACATCAGCTATGGAGGGGAAGGGGGCATGCAAGCTCGTTGGCGTTGCACGTGAAGTCTGGGTTCATGGCATCTTCATGAGAGGCTGGGCTCCCAGCCCACGGGCTCTGCCCTGTACAGATGGTTTCATTTCTGAGCTCAGAGCCTCTTTGTGTCCTGGTTCTCATAGAGGCAGGCTCAGAATGGGGTTTCCATCACCATATGAGTCTCCGTACAAGAACAAGCATCAGGAACGTGCCAGGACGCGATGGGGGTTAGGGGATCCCCAGGTGCCGCCCAGCTCCCATCCTGCCCTCCACGCTCTGTGTGACCTTGGGCCGGGGACTTCCTGCTTGGGCTTCCTTTTACCAGCCGAAGGGAGAGGGGATGGACTTTGAGACCAGAGCAGACCTTCACCTCGCTGGGCCTCCTGGTGGGCGCCCATGGTTCCAGCAACCTCTGCTGAGCACTTGCTGTGCCCCGGTCCCTGGCGGCACGCCTTCATTCTCACTGCGACCCGGGGGCGAAGTGCTGGAAGCACGGAGAAGCTTTCTGGAGGAGCCCAGCCAGTAGGGTCAGTACGTGATGGGGGTGGAGGGGGGTGAACAGCTGGCTCCAGCTCCTGCCCCACTGCCCCTTGCTTCCAGCTCCGCGTCCTCTGTGGCGGCAGGAATCCCTCCCCTTCCCGAGTGTGTACCTGTCTTCCCTGACATTGTTTGGTTTGGCTGAAGTTTCCCAAGCAGCCACTACCCCACCCTGGCTCTGTGCCGGGTGCTGGGGACACAGAAGCAAGCGGCGCAAGTGAAGACCTGGGTAACCATCACAGGTTGATGGGGTACAGCCCGGGGGGGGCGCAGGCGGGATGAGGGGCACAGCCAGGCCGTGGGCCCAGCAGTCTGAGGTTAAACAAGCCTTGCCTTGTGGACAGGAGCGGAGGTGGGGCTTCTCAGGCAGGTGGAGGTCTGAGACCAGGTGCGGTGGTGGGTGTGGTCATGCGTGATGTCAAGCTGGGGG